TTTTCAAAACCCGAAAATCAATACCGCTTGGGCTTATCGATACCACTCTCGAGTCTGGTGGGTTTTTTTATTGTTACAATAGTAATTGTGAAATCCGTGTTGAAATCGGCTGCATACAAGCTAGTTAGCTTGAAAAGTAAATAAAGTTTCAGACGTGTGTTCAGATTGGCTCAGTAAAACGACAATTAGGTTATCATGATGCGTTCAAGTGTAACGTAAAGAAAAGGGAAATTGAGTTTTTGGCGAGAAACATGAGTAATACAGTTGTATACTGCTCTAATTATTTTGAATATATAATTAAACTACTGATGCCAACATTTATTAAAAATTACATTTCATTTAAAATACAATTATTTATTTGCTAAATATTGTTGCATCGTCTTTCCACCAAATAACAGAAAAGTATGGATAGTGGTATCGATAAAGACTCGGATCGATAAGGAGCATCGATAAAGGTATCGATATCAATAAATATTAACGATCCCCATCCCTAGTGCTAACCACACTAAGCTAGCCCCGTGCTAACCACACACCTGTGCCTGAGCTTGATGGCCAAGCTCTCGACCTCCGGCTGGCTGTGGAAGCAGGAGAAGTCCATGCTGACCTCGCCGTGGCGGCTGATTCCTCCAGGTGACGAGATGTTCCCAGACTTGATGGTGTTCCTGAAGATCAAGTGGCTGCTGTTTGCCTGCAGGTTCACATACAGAGGGGGAAATAAGTATTTGACCCCTTGCTGATTTTGCAGGTTTGCCCACTTACAAAGAATGCTTATTTTTCCTCATCAGATGGTTATCAATTTTTTTATAAATTCATATGATGTGATTTTCTGGAATTTTCTTTGGGATTTTGTCTTTCACTGTTAGAATGTACATGTGATTAAAGTTATAGATCGTTGCATTCTTTGTAAATGGGCAAACCTGCAAAATCAGCAAGGGGTCAAATACTTATTTCCCTCACTGTATGCAGGTCTTTAACCCTTCAAAGCCCGATCCAGGAAAAAAACTTTTTTTGTTTTCTCTATTTGGCCCTTTCACAAAATATGAATAAAAATAAACAGCAATTATTCTTTAATATTTAATTTCAATTCAATTAAATTTTATTTATATAGCGCCACAACACAACAACAGTTGTCTCACAGCTTTCCAAACAGAGCAGGTCAGACCTACTCTGAAGTATATTACAGAAACCCAACAATTCCCACCATGAGCAAGCACTAGGCGACACAGGCAAGGAAAAACTTCCTTTTAACAGGCAGAAACCTGGAGCAAAACCATGGCTCAGGGTGGGCGGCCATCTGCCTCGGCCGGTGGGGGGTGAGAGAGAGAGAGGGCGAGAGATAGAGAGAGAGAGGGCGAGAGAGAGAGAGAGAGGGCGAGAGAGAGAGAAGGACGGAGGGAGCAGAGAGAGGCAGCCAACACAGCAACACATAGACTAGATAAAAAATGGTAATGATATTAATACTAATGATAATGATAGAAGTTATAACAGCAACACTATGCAGACTAGAAAAAGAGCAGGAACCCGGGGGCAGCATTTATTACTGTTTGGTAAGACAATATCATTGTCATGTAGTCCTCTGGTCGTGTTATCAGGTATATCTGATTGTGCTCAAAAGGGTTTTGAGCAAAGTTATTACCATTAAAGATGCAAAAGGATTCAGATCAAAAACATTTCAGAAACCGTATGTATCAGATATGATACAAATGGCATCATAGGGTTGATTCTGTGCCGTTCCTCAGGGTTTCCGGACACCTACCTGGATCACCGTACCACAGGAGTTATCGCCGTCGAAGCCAAACGTCACCATGTGGGTGACGTTGTCCAGTTCTCCTTTGCAGCTCCGGTCATTGAGATGTAGCAGGGAGTAGTCGATGCCTTTGTTCTCCAGCAGACAGTTGGCAAAAGTCACCGAGGCAGACTTCTTCCCACAGACCGTCGGCTCACCTAAACAGACACAGACATGCCAAGTTTTCAGCCAGCAGCTCTCTGGATCCTCAGAAATCCTGTTTCCTGTCTGTCAGACTGTCAGGAGGTGGGTTCTTGAAGGGAGGACTCAGGTGCGGAGATGAGGGAAAACAAGGTTTATTGCACCAAAAAACACTCATGAGTGAGTGAATGTCCAGACATGGTACAAAACAAGGCTGTAGAAAACTGTGAGCAAAGTATCAAAGCAATAAGTAAACAAGACCGTGGCAAAGTAACAAAATAAAGATTAACAAAAACTGTGACAAAGCTGTGGCAAAACTATGACAATGGCAAAGTAACAAACTAAAGAATAACAAGACTGTGGCAAAACTAT